GAAGAACATTCACAAACCGCTCACAGCTATCATTCATTAGGAGTTACTCAACATTCACTTGGAGACTTTGTGTCAGCCCTTGAGTCAAACAAGCGTGCACTGAATATCAGGTTAAAAGTCCTGGGTGAAGAACATTCACAAACCGCTCACAGCTATCATTCATTAGGAGTTACTCAACATTCACTTGGAGACTTTGTGTCAGCCCTTGAGTCAAACAAGCGTGCACTGAATATCAGGTTAAAAGTCCTGGGTGAAGAACATTCACAAACCGCTGACAGCTATCATTCATTAGGAGTTACTCAACATTCACTTGGAGACTTTGTGTCAGCCCTTGAGTCAAACAAGCGTGCACTGAATATCAGGTTAAAAGTCCTGGGTGAAGAACATTCACAAACCGCTGACAGCTATCATTCATTAGGAGTTACTCAACATTCACTTGGAGACTTTGTGTCAGCCCTTGAGTCAAACAAGCGTGCACTGAATATCAGGTTAAAAGTCCTGGGTGAAGAACATTCACAAACCGCTGACAGCTATCATTCATTAGGAGTTACTCAACATTCACTTGGAGACTTTGTGTCAGCCCTTGAGTCAAACAAGCGTGCACTGAATATCAGGTTAAAAGTCCTGGGTGAAGAACATTCACAAACCGCTGACAGCTATCATTCATTAGGAGTTACTCAACATTCACTTGGAGACTTTGTGTCAGCCCTTGAGTCAAACAAGCGTGCACTGAATATCAGGTTAAAAGTCCTGGGTGAAGAACATTCACAAACCGCTGACAGCTATCATTCATTAGGAGTTACTCAACATTCACTTGGAGACTTTGTGTCAGCCCTTGAGTCAAACAAGCGTGCACTGAATATCAGGTTAAAAGTCCTGGGTGAAGAACATTCACAAACCGCTGACAGCTATCATTCATTAGGAGTTACTCAACATTCACTTGGAGACTTTGTGTCAGCCCTTGAGTCAAAGAAGCGTGCACTGAATATCAGGTTAAAAGTCCTGGGTGAAGAACATTCACAAACCGCTCACAGCTATCATTCATTAGGAGTTACTCAACATTCACTTGGAGACTTTGTGTCAGCCCTTGAGTCAAACAAGCGTGCACTGAATATCAGGTTAAAAGTCCTGGGTGAAGAACATTCACAAACCGCTGACAGCTATCATTCATTAGGAGTTACTCAACATTCACTTGGAGACTTTGTGTCAGCCCTTGAGTCAAAGAAGCGTGCACTGAATATCAGGTTAAAAGTCCTGGGTGAAGAACATTCACAAACCGCTGACAGCTATCATTCATTAGGAGTTACTCAACATTCACTTGGAGACTTTGTGTCAGCCCTTGAGTCAAAGAAGCGTGCACTGAATATCAGGTTAAAAGTCCTGGGTGAAGAACATTCACAAACCGCTCACAGCTATCATTCATTAGGAGTTACTCAACATTCACTTGGAGACTTTGTGTCAGCCCTTGAGTCAAAGAAGCGTGCACTGAATATCAGGTTAAAAGTCCTGGGTGAAGAACATTCACAAACCGCTGACAGCTATCATTCATTAGGAGTTACTCAACATTCACTTGGAGACTTTGTGTCAGCCCTTGAGTCAAACAAGCGTGCACTGAATATCAGGTTAAAAGTCCTGGGTGAAGAACATTCACAAACCGCTGACAGCTATCATTCATTAGGAGTTACTCAACATTCACTTGGAGACTTTGTGTCAGCCCTTGAGTCAAACAAGCGTGCACTGAATATCAGGTTAAAAGTCCTGGGTGAAGAACATTCACAAACCGCTGACAGCTATCATTCATTAGGAGTTACTCAACATTCACTTGGAGACTTTGTGTCAGCCCTTGAGTCAAACAAGCGTGCACTGAATATCAGCTTAAAAGTCCTGGGTGAAGAACATTCACAAACCGCTGACAGCTATCATTCATTAGGAGTTACTCAACATTCACTTGGAGACTTTGTGTCAGCCCTTGAGTCAAAGAAGCGTGCACTGAATATCAGGTTAAAAGTCCTGGGTGAAGAACATTCACAAACCGCTGACAGCTATCATTCATTAGGAGCTACTCAACATTCACTTGGAGACTTTGTGTCAGCCCTTCAGTCAGCCAAGTGTGCACTTGACATCAGGATGAAGGTGCACGGTGAAGAGGATCCACGAACTGTTAACAGCCTGGTTAAGGTGAAGGAGTTAGAAAAGTTGTTGTGAAGGAATTCATGATGAAAGAAGAGAAAAGGGAACATTACAATTAAGTATTTTGATAAAAGTCAATTGAATATTCACAGTAATATCAAGAGTAGGTAATTTTTTCAAGATTGTAGTTGAAAATTTGTATTACGATGCAGCAAGACCTTAAAAAACTTTTTTAGAAATAACCAAAGGGAAGGATAGGATTCGTCATTTTCAAAACGCAACAGTGAATAGTTAAGGAAGAGTACATAGAAATCCTTTTACTTCCCCTTTTTTTTTCTTCTTAGAGACTGTTGGTATATTTTGGAGCTTTTAGGATTATTTTTTTTCACGACAAAGTCACTAGATGCAAGTCTTTTTAGGCGATGGGGTCGACTGCGTCCGGCACAGCATTATGTATCATGGTGGTCTGCTGCGATTGGTGCATTTCGATCCGGCTATTGTTTTCGTGTACCACGGTTTCCTCAAGCGTTCGCTAATTTGCCGTGCGTCGCTGGCTTTGATGTTTTCTAATTGGCGGCATCCACGCTTCCGGTATTTCGGCTTCGTTGTCCCTGTTTATGTTGTTTGGGTTATCTCTTGCCTCTTTCACTTTCCTTGTGTACCAATGGTTGTTTCGGTCAATAAACTTCATTTCGTTCCACAGCGGCTCGTGTCTGGTTCCGTTAGCGTGTTCTGAAACCGCGGAATTCTGAGTGCGTGCGAGTCGTATGTCCTTGTCGTGTTCTTTTATTCTTTCTTGCATGGGTCGTCCCGTTTCTCCGATGTAGACTTTGCCGCATGCGCAAGAAGTGAATCTTTTAGTTGATTGCATACCTCAAACTCGAATTGAATGATTAAGTGAGTTTGTTAGTGGAGAGATTTCCTATCGGAAAGAGTTTTCTAAAGAGACACAATTTATCTTTTAGCCTACCTTGACAAAGCTCTTCCTAACGACTTAAGTTAACAAAAGAAACTTGATGATTTTATTTAACCAGACAAAAATAGTTTCGATGGGGATATACGTACCAAAACAGGATTTCCCGCTTGTGGTAAAATCATAACCAAAATTTGAGACATAGTCTTATTCTTTTTTTCAATTTGAAATATATTTTTGTAAATGAATGGTCTTCGCAATTAGAAATTGCTGAGCCAGACACTTTTAATCTTTGTTCAATTAAACGCATTGTTAAGGACAACTTTTTATCCTTAATTTTCCTGGTTGTTTTGTTTGTAATTCGATGACTACGTCATAGATCTTCTATTTGCAACACGTGATCAAAGTGAGAGAGCCAATGAAGTTGCCGTATTGTCCACAGTAGCTACCATAGCAACCAATAGAACTGCTTCCAAATTTGGCCGAGTTCACAAACTGTGAATGTGACGAGTACAAATACAATGACTTGAGATGCCCCTCGTGGCGTCGAAATCCTCGTGGGCAGCGGCCATTTGCCAAGATGCAGAATTTACCTTCGGGCCACTCTATAGAAAGAACAATACGTATGTTTCGTAAGGGACCGATCATCATTTCTCACGTAGGGGGGAGAGGTGGTGATACAGTTTGTGTCACGATAAAATTCACCTGATCCCTCGTAGAGCATACAGCTCTGTAGTATTCTTATAAACCGCCCATTGATTGGCAGCTAATTGGTAGTCAATTTTTTGTAGTCCCCTCTTTGTACTCTGTTTGTGAAGACTGACACTCTTGAGTTTCGCCTTAAAACTATGTGATTCTACCAAAATCCCCCACCCCTCCTCTCCGGCGATTGAAAATGACTGGTCTCTGAAGCGTTCTCAGTCTCAAGAGCGTGTGGTCCTGTATATTTTCAAACTATTGCGCAATACAAATTTTTTTATCGGGGAGGGGAGGGAAGGGTGTCTATACAACTTTTTCCAAAGATTATACAATCAATTTGAACAACTTTCGTGAATATTTTCAGGAACAACTGAGTCGATAAAACAGAATGAATATATTCTTACCCTCCTTGAGCGATGCACTTTCTTCTTGGGCATAATTTAAAGAAAATTTTAAAGTTTTAACCTCCTGTTCCAACTTGTCAATTTTCTCGGTAAGTTTTCTCTCCAAGTCTTCTATGGCATCCTGGGTTTCCCTTTTAGGCTTTTGACATCTTTGTTAAATGTGATGGTTGTCTCACCATACTGCTGCTGGCTCGTTGACATGGCCAACTGTTTTATTCAACTTCTTTGTTACATTTTGAATCTGCTTGGTATGATTAGCGAACTTGTCAAATATTTGTTTAAACTCCTTCTCATTGCCTGTTCCTTTGACAGCTGTAGAGACTTGGTTGCTGAAATTTTCTATGATGGCTGAATGGGCTTCACCATTCGTCACAGTTTCAAGATTGTTCCAAAAGCGCCTTAATCTGATAAAAAAATGCAATGTTGTGAGCGTTCATTATCAAAACTAGAACCCGGACCCTGAAACCTGGATTCGGGAAACTCACGCATAGGAAAAAGACCTCACACTGAGAACCGAAATGGAGGTAAAAAATGGTGGATATTTACTCAACTATGAGGCGGTCAGGTAAATATCTACCATGCAGACTATTTTTATACGTAACACACATCGGCGCATTTGTTCCCATGAAAAAAGAGAAATTCAGAAACAATCAAAGTAAATTTCCATTATATCATTGCAGAAGATAAAAAAAGGGAGAGATGAATCGCAGCTCAAATTTTGATATCACATCGCCTGGTTTTTTGTTGACTTTTTTACCTTGACTTATCAATAAACGAGGGATTCAAACTATATGGAATTTCTGTGTTGAGTGCCTTGTTTATCTGCCGGTTGTTCCAATAAAAAGAAAATTTTCATTCCAGGTTTGTCTAGTGATAAAAAACGTTAAAAGAGGTCGCTGGTTACCAAGTTGGATGGCCGACACAATTTATCAAACAGATTTTAACTTGAACACAATTCAAAACTAGTCAAGATTAAAGTGTTGTATCTGTGTTATTAGACTACTCAAATATTAACGCCACTGGAGCTGCCTCAACCCTTTACACCCTAACATCATTATGCATATTCTCCATACTGTTCTCTGTACATTTCCTAAGTTTTAACAAGGAGAATTTGTAAAACCATCACGAGCTTCGTTAGTTGCTGATCATTTCCTTTATTCTCGTGACTTAAACATTTGATTCAAGGGAAAGATTGTAAAGAGAAATTAGAACCTTGTCACTCTTAGGGATTAAAAGGTTAAAGCGCCACTAGATTTTCTTTGATTTATTTGTACTAGGCGGCCATCTTGATTGCTCGCGTTCACAGTCTTGTAGTAAAAATAGTCATCTTCTGTATTATAGAGAATTCGTTGTGAATATCTACCGTTTGAGAGTAAATGTGGCTTAGAAAGAGAAGTCAGTCGAAACACCAGTGGTTGGATAACTGTTGCTCATCTTCAAAAGAAGTGATAACCATTGTGTTCTCTCGATATAATCGAAGCGTGACGTATAACGTGTGAAACAAGCTGGGTAGGTCACGTGCGCGTTTGTGATAGGCTCGAGGTTATAGTTCAGTATCCCTCTAGATGTCTTGTTAGCATTAAGGTATGGATAGCCTCCCTGTCGAATCACAAGGGAGTAGCATGGAGTGCTAATAAGCCAGCAAGAGGTGGGGTGGGAGGGTGGGGCGACTTTTTCATTAGCGGCCCGTTGCGAACTGACATCCTTGCATAATTAGTTTGGTCTTTAATAATATACATGAGAAAATTACTCAGTTCTGATTGGTTAAGATAAATGCAGTTTTCGGGTAATTCAGTGCAAAGAAGTAACAAACCAGACATTGGTCAATAATCAAGGAAACTCAATGATAGCCAATCAAGTGCGAGCCTTGGATGTGGCAACATTTGGATACACTGAAAATTTGCGAGCGAAACAATACCCGGCGTTTTAAGTAGGTTTTCTTTCGCCACCGCAACAACAATCCAGCGGCTGAAAAACAGCTCTAACAACGGAAACACTATGAAAAGCACTGCTTTTCGGTTGACGGTTTGGAAAAAGTGGTTTTTAGAGAAGGGAATTGCCAAGGAAATCGAAAATTACGAGCCGACCCAGCTTAACACTTTACTCAAGTGATTCTTCGCTGAAATAAAAACAAACATGGTTAAACCTCGAAACGACGATTCCATTTAATCGAAAGTGATTCGGACACAGACTGAACAATTCCTTGAACTGTTCAGCCGGACTTTGAACTTTTTTGCGCCTTAAAGATGTGAAAATATCATTGTATATTATTGTTTTAATCGTACGCGGTTGTATTGACCGAACACACAAAGTCGTTTGTAGGGTTTTAATAAGTTATTTTTGCACTTGGTGCGCGCGCTTTGCTTCTGCATAATTATGATAAGCTATCAGCTGTAAGCTATATTATTAATACGTAATCACATGATTTTTCTCGTGCAATTTGGAAATAAACAAGCACTCGTTAATTTGTTCAAAGACCACAAATTGCACAAGCCCTACGGGCTCGCGCAATTTTGTTGGTCTTTGAAAAAATTTACTCGTGCTCGTTTGTTCCAAGTTGCACTCGAAACCATGTGTTTACCTATACAAATAATGCTAATGACGTCATCCTGAGGGATCATGAATATTCGATGAAGTTTGAATAGTTCAGTATCCCACTTGATGTCTTCTTAGCATTAAGATATGGATAGCCTTCCTGTCTCATCTCTGCTCCGAGTAGCCTTCCTCTTATAGATAGGCTATACGACTCTTCTATTCCAACAACTCCTTTTAACACCCCCTGACCACTTTCCCAACCCTCACTCACAAACTCTCCCCCCACGAGGTAGGAATTGAAAGTACAAAACTTCCGATAATTTCCTAGTCGCTTACTACGGCTATGACGACCAAGTCCTACTCTGCAGCTCCAACCAACGAGACCCTTAAAAGAGACAATTCGAGTTTAACCCAATACAACTGTTACAATTACTACTGTCCATCAGAGGTCATTTGAATCGATGGTACTTTAGAAGAACTTGCTAATTGTGTTAAGCCCATTAGCTCGTTTTGTCTGCGATAGAGTTCCCCCAGGTCCAAAGGTAATTCTGATGACGAGTCTCCTGCGCCTCCAGACCTTAGAACTTGCTCCATCCGAAGGTGGTGA